AGTAGAAATCATTTTTGGGAACATCATCTTCTACAGGACATTGCTATTGTAAAATTGTTTCAGATTTTGAGTTTTTATTAAGTGTGAGATAAGGGGAAAGAAGGCTGAGGTGTATTACTTTTAACCTAGAGTTTTTGAAACAGATCTTTTAAAAAGGCCTTTGTATTTTGTGCTCTAAAAATACTTGCCTTGATAGTAACATTGGAAAAACAGAGCCAGGTAATTCCAGTGCAGTGCTCCTCTAAGTGGGAGCTTGTGGCCTGCCTTCGGGCACTGTGGAGCGACAGACACTAAAGGTAGCAGTCTTGGCAGCAGGGCTTGGTGTGCAGAAAAACATTTTTAGGAGCTTTACACTTTTGCTATAGTCTGTGTCTTCTGAGACATCCTTACTTGATGTCTCATCTATGTTTCTAAAAATTTTACTAGGTAGAAAAACAAAAGAACAAAATACACCTGTAGGAGTTATGTGAATAAGTAGTGAATAAGTAGAAAAAGTTGTTTTTTTTTTTTTTAATAAACTTCGTCATTTCTGCTCAGTATTATTTACTGAATTTTAAGTGATAATAAGCTCTAAGATTGTCAAATGTGCCCATCGTAGATTCTGATATACAGAATTGAATTGCCGGGACAGACTGACTGAAGCCTCTGCGTTCAGATGTAATATGAAAACAAACCATTAGCCTCATTTACATCCCCAAATATGACTATGTTTACTTTTTTAACACTTGTTAATTTTTTTTTAAGATTTATTTATTTATTGGAAAGTCAGATATACAGAGAGGAGGAGAGACAGAGAGGAAGATCTTCCCTCCAATGATTCACTCCCCAAGTGACCGCAACGGCCGATGCTATGCTGATCCGAAGCCAGGATCCAGGAACTTCTTCCGGGTATCCCACACGGGTGCAGGGTCCCAAGGCCTTGGGCCGTCCTTGACTGCTTTCCCAGGCCACAAGCAGGGAGCTGGATGGGAAGTGGAGCTGCCAGGATTAGAACCAAGCGCCCACTGTCATTTCCATTCTGCCTACCAGAATTTCCCCTAGTTCTTTCATGAAGTTTTTTAATGACTGTTCAGTTTTATTAAGAATAAAACATTACCAAAATTATATTTGAAGAGCCAAGTTATGTAATATTATATTAAGTGTAAGCAGGTAGAAATCAGTTTAATCAGTTAGATTAACAAAGAGCCACAGTAGCTATTGTATTCCAAACTTTTAATGTCTTATTTTTTTATTACAGGTTAATTACCGCACATCACAGAATCTATTAGCTTGTATAACAAAATCTTTCAAAGAAAGTATTGATATGTTTAATCAGAACATTGCCAGTATTCTTTATGAAAAATTTCACCTTTTTGTAATTTTCATGTACTTTGAAATTTTGTCATGTTTCCCCCCTAGTTTTGTGCTAAGAAAGGAAACAGTAATTCAAGATTTCTAAATCAACATTTCCCTTTTCCACAAATATGCCAAATAAAGTTGGTATTATGGTCTAAGCAGGGATAGGAGCAGAATATTTCCCAAATAGTGTTGTTTAAAAATGTAGTAGGTAACATTTTAAAATACAGATAGAAAAATTTTTGCAAGTATTCTCAGTGTATAGCAACTTAATTTTTATAGCATATGAGTCAAATTCAATTTGAAAAACATCTGAATTCACATATTACCAGAGCCTAGTCAGTGAGAGTTTTGCCATTCAAAACACAAAATGAAATGAAGAACTCTCACACTCTCAACATTAAATTAGCGATCAGCAGCATCCAGTTAAAGAAAAACAAAAATAAATTTTACTCTGAATTTCTTAACAGTAAGGAGTAGTTTTAACTGCAGAGTAACAGAGAAACCTAAAAGAATGGTGGCTGAAATACGATGCATTTATTTTTCTCTCACAATAGTTTATTTCTGTTTCACATCAAAGGTCCAAAGGTAGACAGTCTGGACCTTTTAGTGGTTGGTACAGTGTCCTTGGGAACCTGGCCAGGCTCTGTCATTCTTGACATTGGTTTTTCATTAGCTTCTGATCTTCCATATGACTTTAATATTACCTTGCAGTCATGACTCTAAGAAGAAAGACTCAGGCCAAAGATCTAAGAACCTTCCCTGTAGTGAAGAACCTAGATGTTTTCTGCTTTTGTGATTCTGCCTTAATGGCTTGGCTGGGGGCTGTGTGAACTCTAGGCCTGATAGTCTCCGGGACATCCAGCAGGACACCTGGCAGGTCACCTGGGCAGACCACTCCTCAGGAAGGAGGTACCTGGTGTTTGATAAGATCCACCACCCTATAGCTCATCAATTTGTACTTTTTGAAAGTTGCTTGCTTCAAACCCACCAAAAGAAGCCTGCTAAATCATGACTGTATAATTAATAGCTTAAAATGTATAAGAACCCAGTGCTGTTCATTGGGGGAGTGGGGCGGGGGGGTGGGGGAGAGGGGGCTCTCTCTGTGGCTCTTTTCCTGCCCTGCGGATCCTGCAGCAGCCTTGGCTGCAGCTGCTCCTCCCCCACCCAGACCTACTGGGCTGGGAGAGGTGGCTGGGAGACCTAGGTTAACTTGAATAAACTGCCCTTTATGCGTTGGCACCGACTTCAGACTTGATTTTCTGGGGATATCAAAATCTGGCACAACAGTAGAATTACCTCCCTTTAAGCTGTTTTCCTTGATGACTTACCAGTATTCAGTCTGTGATATTGTTAGGCCAACTCTATACTTGCCCTGCGCAACTGCAAAGGAAAGTGGGAAATGCAGTCCTGGGGCTGGTGCGTTGCTGCCCTGGGCTAAGGTTTCCTTTGCTCCTGTTCTCTTTTACTAAGGAGGAAGGGAGCGTGCTTGCTGAAGTAGGCCAGTGACTAGTGACCTCTGTTCTGTGCACTGGCATGAGCTCTGACTAAGCCTTTGCCTACCTTGCCTGAGCCTTGTTCAACTTTCATGTTAACTTACCGTTTACTGTGGCCTTTAGGGGGTGGAAGGAGGGGCGGTGTCACCGAGTTTGTTCATTTGAGGATCGTGAACCGGAAGTTCTATGAACAGGACATTACGAGGAGTGTATGTGATCATTTACCTGAAAAAGCAGCTTTTCAAAGGAATCTGTGGCTTCAAAAGCAAGTTGTTTAGCCTAGTGATTAGACACCCATGTCCCACTTTGGAGTACCTGGGTTTGATATTTGCCCCTGGCTCCTAACTCCAGCTTCCCTGCAATGTGGACGCTAGGAGGCAGCCTTGATGGCTTAAAGTAACGGGGTTCTTACAATGCAGGCGGGAGAGCTGTGTTGGTTTCCCGCTCCGGCCCAGGCTTAGCCATTGGCAGTGTTTGGGAAGTGAACCAGTGTGGAGGCGCTTTCTATTTCTGTGGTTCTCTACTTCTCTAGTAAAGCTTGTTGATTGAGAACAAAGGGAAAAAGTCAGTTACGAGTTTTCTTATCGTTAAAACTCTTGGTCAAGGCACTCCTTCATTCTTTCCCTGGCTATCTTGAGTGTGAGAAAAACAGGAGTCCTGGTAAAATTACTTATCATTCCCAGTATAAGTAATGATAAGTTAACAGTGAATGAGCATAAGTGGGCATATTTCTTCCTTATATTGTATTATCTCAAAACACTAAATTTTTTGACTTAGTGCTAAATAATGCTTTTTTAAAAATAGAAGGAGAGGGCCCGGCGCGATGGCGCAGTGGTTAAGGTCCTCGCCTTGCACGCCCGGGATCCCATGTGGGTGCTGGTTCTATCCCGGCAGCCCCGCTTCCCTTCCAGCTCCCTGCCTGTGTCCCGGGAAAGCAGTCAAGGACGGCCCAAAACTTTGGGACCCTGCATCCGCGTGGGAGACCCAGAAGAGGCTCCTGGCTTCGGATCAGCATAGCATTGGCCGTTGCGCTCACTTGGGGAGTGAATCATCGGACGGAAGATCTTCCTCTCTGTTTCTCCTCTCTGTATATCCGCCTTTCCAATAAAAAAAAAAATAAATAAAAATAAATCTTTAAAAAAAAATAGGAGAACAACATTGATAAGCTGAAAAGACTTAATAAATATCAGCTCCAGTATTGCCTGCCCCATGCGCTGACTGTGAGACCCTGAGATTACATTGTTAGCTACAGAATAGCATCTGCCTCATTGGGTTTAGATGAAATCTGCTGCTGGAAGCCCCAGCCCCCTGTGTGAAGCAAAGACCATAGTTCGTGCTAATTCCCTTTCTTTGTACCTGTCAAACACAGAAGACTTTCCTCAAATGGCACAGCAATAGAGCGCTGGGCCCGCCAGCCATGTATGGTCTGAAACTAGGACTTGTAAACATAATTATTCCCTACGCTAGAATGAAGAAGTGGAGAGTTCCAAATAACTGTAATGGGAAAAGATAGAGTGCAGGGAAAAATTTTCATGATACATGGTAACAGGGTTGGTTTATATAGATTATAGGTTAAGAAGAAATATAGTAAAAGAACCTGGCATATGATGTGTATCTAATTGAGGTTGACAAGTACTTTGCTTTTTTATCACTTTCAGAGGAATTTAGGTAGAATAAACTGGAAAAGTATTCTTTTTTATGGGAGGGGGAATAGTAAACTTAGTTTATTTTGTACTTTTTCTACCTTTTTAAGATTATAGATTCATTTATTCTTATTTATTTGAAAGGCAGAGTGATAAGGGGAGGGAGGAGGGAAGAGAAAGAGGGAAGGAAACCTTTGAGGTGCTGTTTCATTCCTGAGATGCTCGGCAGTGGCAGGGCTGGACCAGGCTGAAGCCAGCAGCCCATACTTCCATCTGGGTCACCCAGGTATGTGACAGAGCCATCACCTGCTGTCTCCCAGGTTGTCCAGAAGGAAGGTGGGATTGGAAACAAAGGAGCCAGGACTCAAGTCGGGCTGTCTGATAAGGGGTTATAGACATCCCAAGCATCGCGATGCCAACCGCTGGTCTCCACGGGATGTAGTTCTTGCATGTCATGCTCCGATCCTCTGCTGGTTATGATTGTGCTGTCAAAGCCCCTGACAATCCCCGTATGTTGTCCTTGCAGGACAGAGGTGAGGTTAAGGCCGACCCTCCAGGATGATGATCCTTTCTTTGAGAAGCCCCCAAGCAGGCAGATTTCCTTACCAAACTTGTCTCAAGAAGAGCCACAACTGAAGACTACAGCACTGGCCAATGAGGAAGCACTGCAGAAGATCTCTGCACTTGAAAATGAACTTGCTGCTCTCAGAGCTCAGATTGCCAAAATTGTCACCCTGCAAGAACAGAAAAACCTCATTGCAGGTCTGTAAGTCCTACATTCTTTCGCTGTAACCATCGAGCTGGAGGGGAAGAAAATGGCACTCATTAGACTGTTCCTTAGTTAACAGCTCTTGGGATTGTTAGAAAAACCACGTGTCTTATTTGCACAGTACAAAACCTGGTCAAGTTTAGATGGTTTGTGTGTCTTTGAGTGTTCTTGATGCTATTAGAGGAGGTGACTAGGAAATGTGCTTGGAAAACAAAGAAAACCATGCAGCTGAATTTCTGCTATAATGAATGGTTTTCTTATGTGCAATTTAGTTATCCGTGATAATGACACCAGTCATAACATGATGTATTTCCATGGGTTTTTGCCCGTTTAGTGAACCTGGGAGTTGCCTGCTTAGCCGCAGTAGCAGCGCGTCAGGCTCACAGTGAACCTGGGTTTGGGAGTAGGACTTCTAGGTGCTGATATTGCTGCCTGCAGGTCCTGAGGTCCACTTGATCCTTCACCTGCTTCTTGTTTTAAAATAGGGTTACTGTGAGCGAAAATGGGAGAAGCATACATAAAAGACCTTTAACGCACAGCAGCTACTTAATACTCACTTCTCTTCTTACACAGTTAGATACTGAATTAGGTTTTCTTACTCCTGGTCTAACACTGTTGCTTTTATTAGTGTGGCATTGTCACATTAGGTGAGCAACAACCTTGAAATCCTAGCCCACTCACTGCTGGCAGCTTGGGCGCTGTGCAGAGGAGCTAGGCACCCTGAGCACTGAGGCCCGGTAGGGTAAGGATTTCGCACAGTTTGGAACTTCTCATGACCCTAAAGTCTTGCTCTTTTCTTGTCCCTTTTTAAAAAGTTATTTAAGGTTTGTTTTACTTGAAAGGCAGAGTTGGAGAGCTGTTTCATCTGTTGGTTCACTCTCCAATGGCCAGGGCTTGGCCAGGCCAAAGCCAGATTTATCCAGGTTTCCCATATGGGTGCAGGTGCTTGGGGAGTTTCCTGCGCGTATTAGCGGGGAGCTGGATCTGAAGTGGAGCAGCTGGGACTCAGACCGGCACTGCAGTGCTGCAAGGGGCAGCCCAGTTCGGCATGCCACAATTCTGACCTCGCATCCCTTTTTTTTAAAAAAAATTATTTTTTTTGTTTTATTTTCTGTCCTCACTTTCAAACTGCCACTTTCTTTTGCTTTACCTCCCTCTTCTGGCAGAGGAGGAGAACTACTATAAATGGTGGGATAATTTGGGGTTAACAGTTCGATGTTCTACTCATGTCTGAATCTTCTGAGCAAAATGTCTTTCCATCAGTGCCAGTCCCCTCCTCTTTGCCCATTCGGTGTAGTTCACCCAGTAGAAAACTGCAACCTCACAATTCTGCAGGAAAATAAATTCTAGGTCCTTATTTTGTAATCTGTTTAACTCTTAATAGTTATCCCTTATTTTAGAAATTAAATGTAACACTTTTCTTCCACAAGGTTTTTCAAAAATATATCTAAAATTTTTCATCCAAACACTATTTATACAGACTTTGCAGTGCTAAGTCTTATATAAATAAAAATATACTTGAAATGTACATCTATTTTTTTTTCAAATAGGTGTAGTAGTATGCATCTGTCAGATAGTGCTGAAGATGGAGGTGTTAGTGTGTGACACACTACTTTATATTTCTGCTTAAAGTGATCAACTGGGCCATGGTCAAACTCGGACATTTGATATCACAGACACAACACTGTTAAATCAAACAGAGCTTTTCATTTGGAGAGGTTTGGACTGAGTGATAGTGACTGATTCACCAAGTAACTGAATCTGTCTTCTTACTTAACTGAGACTCTTTTTAAGGACATTGTTCTTAACAGTACAGTTTGTTTTTAAAAACTGGCATTTTATTGCATATTACAGGATTAAATATTTAAGTATTTTTCTTTTTTTTCCCCCATAGATTCTACCACATCTGTTAAAACAGCAGCACCCCCTCCCCCACCCCCTCCTCCCCCTCCCCCACCTCCTCCCCCTGCACTCCACCAAAGTCTGTCTGCCATTGATCTGATTAAAGAGAGACGAGAGAAAAAAGCCAATGGTGGACAGACTTTGGTTAAGAACAATCCAAAGAAACCAGACATGCCAAATATGTTAGAGATCCTTAAAGATATGAACAGTGTGAAACTTCGGGCAGTGAAGAGGTAAGTACACGTTGGCCTTTTCTCTTCCCCATGTGTTTATTCTTGTAAAACTAAGGTACTGGGCTTCTTGAGTTGTGATGTAGCTGCCATGAATAATTAAATTTTTATGAAAAAAAGATAGGTACTAGTTGCTGCTATACACGGTGACGAAGAGGTTAGCAAAATAAATAATTTCCATGTGATTGTCTTTATAGTTTTCCTATTTAACTTAAATATCAGCCCTTTGATATAAAGACTTCATTGTGATTGCTCAGTCATTTGTTAAACAAAGATATGCTGCTAGACATCCTGTTTGTCCAGAGGGACAGTGCATCCAGTGTTCTGGACATGCAGCAAATGGCTCTTCATTGTACTCCCGTGTGCCCTTTTGTTGAACATTCCGTTGGTTTCTCTGCCACTGCTGGTAGTATCTGTGTTTTTTTTTATGGAGTAAGTCTGACGTCAGCACAGTGCCTAGTGGGCACGAAAGGCTGGCAGGGTGCTTCTGGATGGTTTCTAGTGTATCAACCTATCCTCTTGGTTTCTTCTCATTCTTCTAAGGCCAGAGCAAGATGTAAAACCCAAACCAGCAGATGCTACTGACCCTGGTGCCCTAATAGCAGAGGCTCTGAAAAAGAAGTTTGCCTATCGGTATCGAAACGATGGCCAGGGTGAAGTTGAGAAAGGAGTTCCACAGTGTGAATCAGAGTCCACCTCAGAGAAGGTGTTGGTGAGTGTCAGCTTGGCTTTCTGTCCTGGTACTTGGTAATTCACACCTTGTAGAGCACCTGTCAAGCCAGTCAGCTGTGTCTTCCTCAAGCTAGATGCAAGGTGTGACACCCAGGGTCGTCTCTGTCCTCAGTTGTAGAGATTGTGGCTGGTTGGGGAAATGACATCTTTATAATTTTAATAGTTGTTCACTTGGAAATTTGAAACTTAAGAGAGGAGCATAAATAAAAAAAGCAAAAGTTAACTCCAGGATTTTATTAAGTTTGTTAAGCAAACTCCAATGGCAAATTTAAGCATAATGTGAAATTCACAACAGTTCATATTTTAGAGCAGTATGTATTTTTTTATTGTGATATAGATGTTGAAAGCAAAGCAACCTCACTTTCTCAGAACACTCTGAAAATCTTTTAAAGAAGGCAATATTTGTGCCTTAAGAGGGTATGTACCCATGTCACATGTGGAGATGGTGAGAATAAATTGATCATTTCTGAATTCCATGTACTCATGTTTGCTGTAGACATGTGCTTATCTGTTCCCAGGAAGAAAAGCTGACTCATTGTATTACCCTGGAAAATAATCTTTTTCTATCTTTACTCAGAGAAGTAAAATTGGACTACATTGGAGTATTGCTGCTTGTAGTTTTCTTCTAGAAAATACTTTGCACTTTTGTGTTTCTTTCTGTTACCTGTCTAGTGTAACTCAGTTCATTAAGGTTTCAACATGAGCAGTAGCTGCTTGGTTTTTCAGGCAGACCACACCTAACCTTCTCTGATCAATGACTGGGAAGGGGGCAAATCATTGCTGTTAAATGAGCCAGTGTCTCTAATTTGTTTCTTTTCTAGTTTGGACCACATATGTTGAGGTCTACAGGAAAAATGAAGGCTTTAGTCGAAAATGCCTCCAACTCCTAATAGAGAGTATGCTGAGAAAGACTGCGGGGTTCGGCTGCTGGTGAGGGCTGTCTTCGGCTGGTAGAAAGCAACACTATTTAGTAAATCCTGACTTTAGTATCCACTGGGCTCCTTTTTAAACCTAATTAGGAAGAAGCAATATCAAAGTACCATAAGTTTGGTTTTGCTTGTATAAGAGGTCTGTTCTGGAGCTCTCCTGGAACATTGCATGTTCTGACCTCTTTCTAATGTGTAGCCAGGATGTTCGGGTTTCCAGTCTTGAAAAACTTGTAAGATTACAGACTATTTAGAAAGGACATTTGTGAATGTTATTGTGCATTTTAAATGAACACTAATTTATCTGTTCAAATGTTTTATATTGCATATATTTGGATGTAACAGTGTATGTAAAAATCAGTAGTGAATGACAAGCAGTGGTGGGCACCAGCATCCTCATTGTTCTCAATGATCATTTTCTATTCAGTGATGGATCAGCTGCTACGATAGGGGTTGCTGGAAACTTCTTACCTTGGACAGAGTTTGTATCTGAGTTTCCCTCACATTTTGTGGAACCGGGGTTGAGTAAGAACCAGATGATGTTCAGTGCTGAAATTCTATAATGCCTTCCACTAAAGGGAAGTGGGGGACCAGGAAAGCTGCCTTCACCTCATTTTCATGCAGAGGTGAGGAAGAAAATGTAGTTTTCAAGTAAGGACAGGCTGCATTGTTGAATTAAATCCCTTTTTAAGTAATAACCGGAATGTACCACCTTTCCTTTCTGCTTAACGGATGGCATCAAAAAGGTGATGTTTGGCTAAGTTAATACTTCTGGAGATGCCAACATAATAGAGTTCACAAAGTTAATATTTTGGCCAAATTTTAAAGTTTTTAATGAAACATTGAATAGGCAAATTTCCTATTATTTGTAATTTATAGAATTTTGTTCTAATGAATTGTGTTATGCAGTGTAAACCTCGGGATGTTATTAGAAATGGAGACCTGCCTTTCTCATCTAGGGCTTCTACGGACTAGCCAGAAGTGATTATTTTTAAATGCTCAATACATTCTTATGATTTTCTCTCTCTGATAAATTCAGCTGTAGTTAGTACCAGACCCTCCTACCATGAGTAAGTACTTGAATTATTTAATTCTGAGGGAAAAAGTTATACTTCCTGGGAGGAGTAAGAAACATCAAGAATAGACATTGACCTTTAAGTTATTAAAAATACATGTTGTTCTCCTTAAATATTAAAAAACATTCATGGTTTGGTTATTCAGCTTAAATTTAAACTGGTTTATTTTATGTATTCTTGCATTGTTTCTAATTGCTTTATATTTAAATTTTCTATCTTCAAAGAAGTTAAGAAAATTCATCTGACATATTTGGACCTCCCAAGAAAGTGAAATTTGTATCAGTATTTAATTTTGGCTACTTGCTTCAACTTGGTTATTTTAAAATAAAGCAAACTTTTCCTTGGACTGTGCTGCCTATTTTTTATTTTTTTAGATAGTAAGTTTCTTATATATATTACACAAATAGCTTCTTGAGAGTAATTTGCTTTCTGCAGCTTTTAATGTGGAAATCTCGTCCTTAAAATATGCTGTCACTCTTCATCCACTTTTCCTCTTAAGGGGATCTCAACATTAGAACAGAAGGGTGGACACAGATGGTATCTGAATTCCCTAATGAGTCATTTATGGGATTCATGAGATCCCATACCCATCTCATTCAGTTTTGGGTGATTGCACCCAACATAATTTATGAAACAAAAAAACCTTAAAAGGAGTGAGACCTCTACATTTTATAGTTCAACTCAAAAAGGTTAAATAAGTTGCTGTACTATGTTATCTGCTGAATTTGGACTGTTCTGTGACCCTCATGCTAGATGACAGGGAGGCAGGCAAGGGGAAAGTGAGAATGGAGTTGGATCTACTGGACTTGGAGCTTTGTAATCCTGGCCAAGTCACATTTTTTTTTTTTTGCAATATATTTTTAAAAATATTCAGCTCAAAAGGTTACGAAAAGTAGAGTGCTAAAGTTATTACTGTTGCATTATTTTATGCAGGGTATCCTGTCTCAATTCGATACATTCTCCTAGAATGCAGCCCACTGCATGTGGGAGAGGCATCATCCCATTTGTGTAGTCCTGGTTGTCTCCTTAGTCACTTAATTTTTGCTGTTATAAATTTGTGTGTCTATGGTGGAAAGACATGAAAAATAATGACAGGGAACACATTTTTGAAAGTGTTCTGATAACTTTTCCTAAAGTATAAGTGCTTTCTGTGGACGAGAACCATGCAGGTAAACACAACGAAAGTGGCTCTAGGATTGACAGGCAGAATGAGACACTTGTTTCATAGCCATTTGCCCATTGTTTCTCATGACCTTCTTGCATATTGAAGTCCCAGTTCCTATGTTTTGGCCTTGTCTTCAGATAAGGAAAACCTTGGTCTAATGCTATGTCCTGAGAATAAATCACAGGAATAACATGACCAGGCAGGATCTAGGGACATTATACCATTCCCTCTGGGACTGCTCTTCTTGTTTCACTTCACTTAAGCTAGAAGCCTTATGATTCTACAGCTCCAACTTCTCAGATTCCTTATTTTGCTTGTAATTTGGACATTCTCAGGAGGGTAAATATTATATATGGTCTAATAGTTCTCTGAGCCCCCACCAAATGACTGTTATGGGCTACTACTTCCCAATGACTTTGCAGATGGAAAAGGCTAAATTTAAGGAAGGACAGATTTTCCTAATGGGAATTTTACCGACAGTGTCAAAAGGCCTTCTGTTAATGTTGCCTGGTGGCCATAAGGAATTTTTATGGATGAATGAAAAGATGGATTCCCCAGGGAGTTATAGAGTAGATGTGGGAAGTGGTTTGTTGCCTCAGGGTAGAGTGCCTCTGAATGCTAAGCAGTGGTTGTTGCCTTCTTCTCTGCAAGGGGAGCACCTGGCAGTGCTACCTGCTCAGTGCCCATGCACACAAGCTTGATGAACTGTTCAAGTTAGTCTCCCTCTGGAGAGTAAGGCAGTTAAAACCAGGAGCTCAGAGAAGGACGTTGTGAGGTACAGCTGTATCCAGGAGCTTTAGAAGGCAGAGATTATGAGGTCCACAAGTAGAAAGAACCTTACTGTGTATCAGTGCATAAATTTTTTTAGACGTTTCAAGTAAAAGGTGAGAAAATCACTCAGAAGCTTGGATTTAGCTTGCCAAAGGATCCAAGCCCAATGCTTTATAAAGACTGCATTGCATACTACCACCTTCCTAAGTGGAACCTGCAAGGTAGGGAAGAAATGAGAAGAGGAACAGGGTAGAAGAAAGCCCAGATGCACCGGCTTAGATGCCAGGCCCCGTTTGGTTGTTTCCTATAACCTGGCTGGCAGGGTTCTGCTGTCGGGAGCATGAATCCTCCTGACTAGAGTAAAAATACAGAAAGGAGTCCATCCCCGAGCCCTGCGGTGGGAACAATCCAATTACTACCTTGTGATGACACTTGGATGGAAATCGGAAAGTTTGGTGTTCTCCCAATGTTTCTTGGGATCTTGAAGCACTTTAAGTTTGTGCTTGTGTACTACCCGTCCCCTCCATTCCCTGGTACACCTGACAGGACAGTGTGCGAGTGTAGTGCCTTTGGGAGGGAATTAAAGAAAATGTGGGATCTGCCGTTCTTACAAGAGGAAGACAGCTGGCCAGATGAGGACAGAACTGAAGTCGAGAAGTTTGCAACTGTGAAGTTGACCGTCATGAGAACCAGACATTCTAGCTGTGATAAAAACAAACAAAGCAAAACACACTACTTGTTAAGTCACGCAGTTTGGGAAACTTGTGATAGCATCGGAGACAATTCCTCCACAGTAGTGCCTTCATATGGAACTTTAAAAACTGGATTATCACTACAATAGCCGATCTTAACATGGCTCAACCATGAAGAAATCCTTCAATCTATCTTTGAAAAACAACAAAGCAGATTTTTTAAAAAAGAAGCATTGTAGTTACAAGAATCTGTTGATGAAATTGGTGGAAAGCTAGAATAAGTCACTGCTTCCAATTTTACATTATAGCCAACAAGAAACCTAACATTAAACACAGAAGTCTCCATCACCATGCGACCAGACTGTTTCATACTGAAAATGTAAAACTATACCATTAAAACCAAATCGGAAACCTAGATCACTTTTATCAGTTACTAATGATAAAAATAATTAGAAATGACATTATTTTCATCACTAAATTATTCCCACTTTACTCATTTGTCAATCTGTTACTTATAAAATGAAAATATACATGTTGTCATCCAAGCATTTTGGTAGCAACCATGCTGCATAGTTTTTAATACCTATTGTCACAAAACAGGATTCTGGTATTTCTTACTTCTGCATAAACAAACCTGTTTCAATGACACATTAGTTACAGGTTAGTTTGTTGAACAGACATTTCTTGGTGACCCACTCATGTCAACTCTGTGCTCGTCACAGGAACCAGGCGGGAGGGAGAGACACACCATGAGTGCTGCAGCTCAGCTGTCAGCCACATAGCCTGTCCCAGCTGTGGACTACGGGCCACAAGTCACTTGCAGGTCCTTGGTAAATGAATGGCTGCATACTAAGCTTGGCACGCATCAGTACCACTGCATTCCAAATGCACACCAAAGCCATGTTGATTAATAACATTTTCTTAGAAGCAATACTGGAAACATTCACTTTTGGTCATTGTATACTTTCTTAGCAGGTCTGTGAGGGAATTTACACAATACTTACACATTAAATTATTTATTCATGCTTGAAAAACACTGAATACATCTAAAGTGAATAGTTTTTTTAAGTTTTAAGAATATAAGATTAAAAAAGGACTTTGAAAAAATAAAATTTTTGGAATCTTTAAGGAACTTGCTCAAGTTTGCAAGGGACCAGAATTTTTTATAAAAATTATTACAAGCTATCACTCATATAATGAAGACAAATTTTGGCCAGATATCAAAACATACTTTTTTTCCCCCTTTTTAAAATGAAGGACCTGTCAAGATTTCCTCCCATGGACACTTTACTCCTAGGGACACAGACTCGCTCACAGCTACACTGCTTGACCCAGAGAAGAGCTACATGCATTGATCTTGCAAAAAAAAAAATTTTTTTTTTAATTTTTTAAATCAGAAAGACATACGAGGGAGACAGAGAGGAAGATCTCCTGTCTGCTGATTCATTTCCTAAGCAGCTGCAATGGCTACAACTGTGCCTATCCAAAGCCAGGAGCCTCTTCCGGGTCTCCCACGCGGGTGCAGGGTCCCAAGGCTTTGGGCTGTCCTCACCTGCTTTCCCAGGCCACAGGCAGGGAGCTGGATGGGAAGTGGGACCCCCGGGATTAGAATAGGTGCCCATATGGGATCCTGGCGCATGCAAGGTGAGGACTCCAGCCACTAGGCTACTGTGCTAAGCCCATTAATCTAGAAGTTTATGTGAATTATACAGCCTGTCCCATAATAATACAAAGATACTTAAGATAGTTTGTGGAAGAATGAAATTAAAAGGTGAGTTTAGTTAGGCTCAAAAAACTTGAAGCCATACTTTTCATAAAACACACTTTCCAGGAATTTTTCAAAGGTTCCTTGTATGCACAGATTATATGTTTTGTACCAAAATAAACTTAATTCCATACCTATGAACTTTTAAAGTTTCCTACTTACATTTTTTAAATGTTATCTAAGTATTTTCTCAATTTTTGGAGAAATCAACGTGTAAGGATGCAGGTAATTTAAATTACAGGGCTACTTGTATACGATTCTCACATATACACAACAGTTTTCCAGTGGGTTTATTTATATATGTTGTGGGAAATGGGAGGAACACATGAGATTTCAAAGACTTAGCACCAAGAGAGCAGAAAACACCTCCGGTTTTTTTTTCTTTTTTTTTTTTTTATTGACTGCATGTTGAAGTGGTAAATTTTGGATACATGGGAGTAAGCAAAATATCAAAATGTCATCAAAATTTTTTCTATGTGGCTACCAGAAAGCCAAAAACTTGAACGGACCTGTTGGACCTCTCCCTCTTCTGTACAAAGAATGATATGTTTACTTAGAACTTGGCTTGATATCCCTTCTAATGATTTGCATCTGGGAAGACCTGGGTGAGGCCCAATGGTACTTGCCTTATTGCAAACTGAGTAGAATACCTTAAAGTGGACTGACAGATATAAATACAACTAGTAGTTTAGTACTTACAAGAGGTGCTGTTGTCTTCTGCAGTTCCCAACTGTGGGAAGAAAATGCTGTGGATTCGAGAGCCCTGGCTCACAACTGTTGGGTTAGTCAGAACTCAGCACACTATGCGACAAGGCGGGCCTCATTCGCACCACAAGGCGCAGATGGATAAAGGCAGATAAGCTCGTCAGATGGTGCCTGCACACAGCTCCAACTGATGCAAGAGCCCAGGAGTTCACTGGGACTTTCTAGCAATTTAGTATTGTGAATTCCAAAGGTCTGAGTTATAATGTAGATATCAAAGATAAAAATGTGAAAAGATAGGTTTTTATTCATCAGAAGTTAACAGCAACAGGCACATATTAAAATGAGTATGGCAAAGCCTTTTACAAATGGCTTTACACTCAAGCTTTCTCCCAAGAAAATGGCTGTTGCAACAAACTGTAAACATAATTAATAAACAGTCTTTTACAGTAACAAGGGAAATACAAATGAACTAAAAGAAAGCACCGATTTCTCTTAAAACTAGATTACAGTTGTGCTTACTATACATAAAACAATTGAAAACAAATTACAAAAGTGGAATGTTTTAAGTTTAAAATTAGTCCTTAAATTTTTGTCCTAGAAAACATCTGTTCACATCAAAAGGCCCATCAAAGGGTAATGTTTCATCAAAGGGAGGGACAAGAAAACAATGCACTTTTTTTTTTCAAATCAAAACGAAAATTTGGTCACGTAGCTTTGTGCATAGTTTAAGGCAACTGGAGCAATCGGTTACAGCTTACCTACCTTCCCCTCCCCAAGTGTGGCTGCTCATTTTGTCACATTCTGCAAGAATAAATAAAAGCTTACATTTCCAATCCTTTCCCATGTAGATTAAACGTAACATGCACAGTCACACATGCACAAATATACACACAAACACACACCCACACACAACATATCTCACTCACTGCAGCAAAAGGGACTTTAGTACCCTTGATCTGAAGGACACACTTCCCCATCCCACTTTATTTCAGATTGGCAAATACCCTGAGCTGATTATGGTGTTTTAAACATTCCACCTTTTTCTTGCATGTGCAGGTCAAGTGTACAGTAGTGAAAACAACATGCAATGTCTCCACTGCACAATCAAAGGACAGCTAGGACACTGGTGTTCTTCCCCTCCCGCCCCAAATTAAAAACTAACTAAGAGTTAAAAAAAAAAATTGCATTGCCAAACAGCACTGGAGTTGTAAGATTGGTGGTTTTCTATGATAAATGCTGTTTCCAGTGCACAAAATAAAAACATAGCAAATGGGAGGCCTTGGTGGCATCCAAGGAAGAAAAAAAGGCAAACCAGGGGAAAGAGCTGCAGTCTAAAGTTTGATCAGTGAGTTTTGTTTTGTTTTTTTTTCTTTTTTCTTTTTCAGTGGTTCCTTCACAATCATGCTCCAAGGCAATTTAGAACCCATATTTTCAGAGTTGATTTGTAAACATTGAGTCTTGCCAGAGGCAGCAGAGGCTGGGCACTTCACATTTCCGTTTTCTCAGAGAGAACTTAGTGGAAGGTACAGATAGACATTGTTCCATCAGACTGGTTAAATTCCAAGAGATTGCTGCTGAGAGGTTCGGTTCAAGTTTCAGGGTTTGAAGAGTAAATGCTCTGAAAAACACGTGGCACACCTCAAGTCATCCTTCGCTCCTTCTTTTGGACTCTCCTGCTGGGCTTTGCATAATCAAGGTTTCACACAAAAGCCAATGCATATTGCTATGTGTTCAGGTCTTACAGTTAAAAAGTGAGCTTAAATGATCCAACAGAGGAAATCTTGGAAATAAATAATGCTGGCATCATTCACTTGGAAACCTTGGCAGTCAAGAGTAAGTTCTCTCACCTCAAGACCCCATTTCACATTTCTAGAAACCTCCAGGAGGCAGTTTTTCCTACTGGTTCTGGGGTTAGGATAACCGATTTTCCTGAGGTAATAACTGTGAGTTCAACTCAAATGCAGCATCAGTGTCCTCACTGCTGGACTGTTCTCTCTGCAGTCCCTTCCAGCTGGCTTTATTGAGCCCCACGTGGCCAAGCATGGTCTGTGACAGCCTTGTGTTCGAAAACCTGGCCCACTCTGTAAATAAAGGCTCCACCAGGTAAGTCATAAAACCTGAGAAAGTAAGAGAAAAAATCTATTAACATTTTTTCTGAAACTTTGAAACATCTTTACAGTGCTAACCTTCTTAGCTACTATTTCAATATTACCTAAATCATATTTTTCAAAGATTGGAAAGTTTAAAAAATTTATTTGAAAAGGCAGTAGTGACAGAGAAAGAGACTCTTCCATCCACTGGTTCACTCCCCAAATGGCATTCACATTTGGATCACAGCCAGAGCTGGGCCAGGCTGAAGCCAGAAGGCTGGACTTCCAAGCAGGTCTCCCACATGGGTGGCAGAAACCCAAGTACTTGGACCATCTTTCATTGCTTTCCCAGGCACATTAGAAAGGAGATAGATTGAAACTGGAACAGCCAAAATTGGAACCAGAACTCTGATATTGCCTTTTTGTATTGTAGGGAAAGTGCACAACACTGTGTGTGAGAATCCTGTTTCTCAAGTGACTCACTGGGATTTTAAGCAGAGCTGAGCTGACAAACCTACCCAACCTCTTCTGCTTATGTCTCCCTCATTTGTACAATGGCACCCTCCTACGTGGCAGCCCTGGGGATAAGCAGGCCTCACAAAATTCGAAGAACTGTTCCAGTGAGACAAGTGAAGGCCAGGGCAGGGTCTCTGTCCAGATACACGTGAGGAAGCCCAAAATGAAGTGAAGTTGGTGGTCTTTTGCTGCTGCCCTTCAGGGAATGGAAATCACACTGGCGCATGATTGTGAGCTGCCATTTTTACTCAGCATTTATAAAGCCAAGTTTATGATGAGAGTTACTCAAAAATAATAGTCTAAAACAAACACCAAAGCTGCACCAGGGACCTATTTGATCAACAACTCACAACTGATTTCCCATTTAAAAAAAAGAAAAACAAGTTATTTCAGGATTGTTTGTACCTTTAGGCCCTACAGTACCCTACTGTACACATAATATGATTTAATAATAGTCTCTTACATAGAATCACAAGAAGCCTCTCGGAAAACAGCTTACTTATCAAATCATATATACATGGAACAAACAGCACTTCAAAATTTATTTATTGAGAGACAGCCCCAAATGGCCACAATGGCAGAGGCCAAGGCTGACAACTCAATCCAGGTCATTCAAATGGACTTCAGGAACCAAACCACATAAGCCATCCCTGTTGCCTTTTAGGGTAGGCATTAGCAGGAAACACACGGGTGAGAAGCCAGAACCAGGATGTGGTCTGGGACCCAGGCACCGGGACACGGGACATCAGGATCTAACTGCTAGGCAAAGTTGTGTGTGCCCTGCCCCCACAACTGCCAAAATATTTATCTGTGAAGGATGGGAAATATACGTTCAAAGTTTCTAATGGCCTGCATAACAACTTTTAAACGATCTACAAACGTTTTTGCAGTCAAAAATCATGTAGACAATGAACAACAAAGGTTGTATTTAACCAACACAACTCACTAGGATTCAAAGCAATTAGCACTCAGTATTTTTAATTAGACTAGTGTATGACTGATGGTTCAATTTTCTTTAGGTGCACTTAAATTATGATATCTAAAATAGAAATATCTGCATCTAGTCTTGCTTCCTTTCCTTCCATACACATTAAATGCGCATGCACTACATGTATTCTTCTAGGAGATGCGGCACTGGATAAGATGGGCTCCTGTCCTCATGAAGCATGCTGGTGAAGAGAATACTTCAAGCTTTCTAGCAGCCACGTTCCAGCCCCCTTTTCCAAAGTTCTGTCTTCTCTAGGGGCCTCAGTTAGAATGAGCAGCCAGAGACCTGTACCCAGATGCAGAATCTGATGCCCTGGCTTGACCTGTGGCACTGTGTCTGACTCCTCCCACTGTTCCAATTAATTGAAATCGTTGGGGATGTTGACACGAGCATCCTACCTCCAAATGCCCGTTCAACTCCCAGCTGCCCTGCTTCCAATCCAGCTCACTGCAGACATGCCTGGGAAAGCAGCAGCATGCCCAAGTGCTTGGGCCCCCACCATCCATGTGGGAGTCTGGATGGAGTTCTGGTCTCTTGGTTCCAGCCTGGCCCAGCCTTGGCTACTATCAGCATTTGGGAAATGAACCAGCAGATGGAAGTTTTCTCACGCTTCCTTTCTCTCATTCATTCCCTCCAGCTCTCTGTTACTCTGCCTTTCAAATAAGAAAATCCTAATAAAAAACATACTTCTGAGTTTCTGAGCCTGCAGCACTTAGATAATTATGCCATGGTAGTGTGCTCCCTCTCTGCATTTATGGAAACCTTATCTTCTTCATGTCTGCGTACATGTTTTACTGTGTTCAATCTCATCCTTAAGGGCTCTACTCAACACTAACATGCTCCTCTCACGGGACCTTGTGGATTTCATTCCCCATCACTCTCTACTTCACAATCAAGCCCAACGTGTTCTCAAGCCTAGTCCATCCTTCCCGTGCTCCTCTACAAGCTGCAAAGACTTCAGTCTCAGAACATTTCCATGTACTTGGTATTTCTAGCGTCAGTTCACTCGGCCTGTGGTTCTCGGAGGCCTCCTGCTTACAGGGCCAGGGCAGGGCAGGGCTGTGGGAGATAAGTATCAAGCACTTCAGATGCATGGAAGCGCAGGGATTGACTGCCCGCAAACAGTGGAAAGCAATACCTAGAGGAGGTGACATGTGAGCCAAACCTTCAAGAGTCTGGGGCCTGGCGCGATAGTGTAGAGGTTAAAGTCCTCGCCTTGCATGCACCGGGATCCCATATGGGTGCAGGTTCTAATCCCAGCAGCCCTGCTTCCTGTCCAGCTCCCTGCTTGTGGCCTGGGAAAGCAGTGGAGGACGGCCCAAAGCCTTGGGACCCTGCACCCATGTGGGAGACCCATGAGAGGATCCTGGTTCCTGGCTTTGGATTGGCTCCACTCCAGCTGTTGCAGCTGCTTGGGGAGTGAACCTTCGGACAGATCTTCCTCTCTGTATATCTGCCTTTCCCATAAAAATAAATAAATCTTAAAACAAACAAACAAACAAGCAACAACAACAAAATGAGTCTGTGAGGCCGACAGGAAGACGGGCAAGGCAGAGAGAAGGAAGGAGCATCATGGGTCTGGAGGACACTGCTAAGACTCAAGCTGCTGTGGGGACATGAGGGGAAAGCTGGGGTGAGAAGAGTAAGAACAGGTGCTGGGCCTCTAGAGGCTGGTGAGGTGTTAGGTCTCATCATCAGGCAGTGACAAAAGACAAGGGAAACAGCAGTGGGAGTGCACAGCACGGTCTTGTAAATGGGCTGACTTTTTCAGTTAAAATGGCAGCTTAACAATTGTGTGAAAGCAGCTTCCATGAGTAACGTGTATGCTTTCATTAGGACAAAACAGAAATTTAGTTTTGCCTGCTCTGCAAAGTTATGCATTTTATGGCCCAAGCTTAAACTGGAGTGAAAATTATAAGTCATAACAGGAAAAAATAAGGGTAAAATGTCACATTATTTTAAAAATTAGAAATGAGCATAATTTTAATATTTTATATTCCAAATATATTTTCTTCTTGATAAAATAAAAATGACTGGCATTTTCTAACCTACTATCTCTGAATATGTATAATTACCAATCTGGATGTTGGCAATAGATTCAGTCTGACGATCACAAAGTGGACTCACTCCCAAATGATACTTTTTTTCAATATCCCCTGTTAAGTAAAAAATACACACAATTATTCATATGAGACACATCAATTGGTTAAAATATTATAGTTAAGGTTTTTCTCATACCTGTGAATTCCTTAGGAAGAACATATTTAATTCTCATAAAAGGATAGCTTCTCAATTAGTCTGTTGAACAATTTAAACTTATTCACATACAGAAAAGAATGCCAAGACAATATCTTCATTTAAATGGACAAAGTAGCAAATTTTGCTAGGTATTACTTAGGGTTATAATTCTGTCAGCATTTTAGTATGAAACTTAAGACATTTAAAAGGAAGGCTCATGAATGAAGATAATTGGATTTTGGCTTTTAATTCAAATGGCCATGTATTCCACACATGACAAAGACAGCAAGTTCAGGGAAATCTTTCCACTACAAAAAACCTCCAGATTGACTGGTATGCATGTGTCATCACTCCAAAAGAGGACCACTATTTTTAAAACAGATGCTCATTCTCTGTGTATTGGTTACATGTGCATAAATGAATCATCACTAAAAATACCAAGAATCTATGGCTCCACTCTTACAAATGGCTCAAGTTATTTTATTCAAACGAGGTAAAGAAATGAGCTCACAGTTACCACTCAGTACTGTCACTTGCCTTGATGGAAGAATTCCTCTGTTACTTTCTCACTCCACTGCTTGCTTAATTCCCAGGTCCGACACGGGTTACAGATATCAGCGCATTTCAAAGCCATCTAACAACAAAATAATACAATTGTGTTAAGAAAAAAAAGAGATGTTCAATGTACAGTTTGACTGTTGGGTGTACTATAAGAGTGGAGAAAACATTTCCAGAAAAAGAATATATTGCAACTAAAAGTACTTTTTTTTTAATATAGTAAATATATGATGCTACTGGATCAAACAATTGTTCTTACATTAACGCTGATCACGAAGCCATGAGACTGACTGAAAACCTAATTACACATGGCTGGTAACCAAAGACACAAGCACAGGACTGTATTACTCACAGGCTAGGAACAAACAAACCAGAAAGAATACAGGGTGACTTTGTAGGTGACCTTCTGAAAAATGCTGATATATCTCATGCCTCAGTTTTCCATCAGGATTTAGTCTCTCTGAAAAAACATGCACTGGAAAACTTCATTTTCATTACAACAGCCACAGGATTTAGGCAAGAAATACAGTCTCTGCAAGCCCGAGTTTACCTGTAAGACCAAATGCCTATGTCTGGCATCTTCCAGGCGTAAGTCGCCTCTATCCAAGTGGGACCGAAACAATGACAGATACTCATTCTGGCGACTGATGTCAGTGGCTAGTATCAGAGCACCTATCTGAGTTTCCATCTGCTGCCTGGAGTTGGGGAAACAAAAAGAGCAAACAGAAGATTTTTAATTAATTAATTAGTTACTTTTTTTTTGATTTTTATATTTGCAAAATGTTATAAAGCTATATGATGTTGTTCTAATTGCTCAGGTAAAATTTTTAAGAATGCATCCAAAAGCCCTAATAAAATGATCAAAACAAGAGTTTGTAGGGAATTATCAATATGCTAATATTCCAGAAGAAATGCATACAAATTCTTTTTGGGTACTGGAGAATTAATAAAAGGCATAGGAAGATTCAATCAGAAAACAGCAGCCTACTGAACCACTGACTTCCCTGACTTCCACAGACATTTTGCCTAAATGCCAGATGGAATCTTGTAGAAATCCCACTAAAGATCTAAGTTTGGATTCAACCATATTTTCAGGGTTAAATCATAAACCAATAGTCTGAGTTTCCAAATTTCCTAGAAGGAAAAAGGCAAAAGAAAAAGGATACATCATACAAAATTTCTAAACCATTTTAGTTAAAAAGAAAATATGTTTTAAAGGTTTTCTGCCTTTTATTTCAACAGGTTGTAGCAAACATTCCTTGCATGATGACAAAGAGCTATCAAATAGATGAAAACACTCACACACAGAACTGAATATAAAATGAAACCCTAAATGAAAAAAAACATAAAAGATGGCTGTTAGGTAGCATATCTTATATTCAGCTTTAATTAAAATCTGAAAATTTTAACAAGGTTAATCCTCAAATATAAAATATGATGAAAAGGGAATAATGAGGCAGGCATTTTTTAAAAAAAGATTTATTTTATTTTTATTGCAAAGTCAGATATACAGAGAGGAGACACAGAGAGGTAGATCTTTTGCCTGCTGATTCACTCCCCAGATGACCTCAACAGCTGGAGTGGAGCCAATCTGAAGCAGCAGCCAGGAGCCTCTTCCAGGTCTCCCATATGGTTGCAGGGTCCCAAGGCTTTGGGCCGTCCTCACCTGCTTTCCCAGGCCACAAGCAAGGAGCTGGATGGGAAGCAGGGCTGCTAGGATTAGAACCCGCGCCCATATGGGATCCCAGTGTATGCAAGATGAGGACTTTAGCCACTAGGCTACCATGCCTGGGCCCAAGGCAGGCATTTTAATCTACCTTAGTAAAAAAGTTTGTGGTTTATATATATGAGTATCATGTGACTTAAGCAATTTTACATCTGTACTACAGCAAAAAATCATTTTACTTATGAAAAGTACTGTCATACTCCAGATGGTAACCATGAATAAAGATTTTTTTAAAAAAATATAAAGTTCATAAAGCTGTTTTAAATTATGAAAGGGAAAAGGAAAGAAAAATGAGTATAATTCAGATTTTAATACCCCACATTTGTATGCCTCAGCATTTTTGTTGGCTTGGCTAGCTTACCCATGTATACATGGCTTTCTTTTTTTTTCTGTTGCAAACAGAAAAGTTTATTTGCGAAGGGACCAGGTGAGCAGGGAAGGGAGCAAAGGGGAAGCACCTCCGAAAAGGGAGCCGGGAGGTGGGGTACCTCTCGTAAGGAGGGAGAGAGACTGTACATGGCTTTCTAATGTGCACCTTCTCCCAGTGGGCTCCAGCGAGAGCCTTGGTTTGTGAGCACAACATGGCAGCCGTGTGAGATTTTATTCACCACCATCATATGGGGCTTATTTACAAGGGCATTTTTTTTATTAGGTTCTCAAATGGCCTAATTAGTATTAAATTACTTTTTCTCAAATGCGTGCATTTTTTGGTCATTTTCTCATTCATTATTTAGCTCAAGAAGTGACTCCTGGACTATGCCACTGAGAAGCTAAGCCATTGTCCTTCTTTATTTTCTTATATTTTGAAAACTTCCTGAAGCAGATTCAGAGAATCTATTACATAGAATGCTTACCTGCTGATTTAACCTTGCACCTGATCTTTGAAGTTTGTTTCCACTGAATATGAAGTGGAACTAGCCAAAACCTGCAGTAAACCATGACTGAGCCACTATGTAACTAAATTTTTGATGTGAAGTTTCAAAATAATTTATCCATGCAGCTGAACAAAAACTGACAACTATGGAACATTTGAATGCAGTATCTTGATTTTTAGCACTCTATCAAATTATTCTAACATAATTTGCATAGTAGCACACTGTGGGTATTAATGCAACCTACCTGCTTTCTAACGGCATATGTGAGAATAATCCGGATTCTCTCAACAAGCCCACTGCAGATCTCCAGTGGTGATTTTCCAGGACTGAGGTATTCTACAAAATAGCATTTTGGTTGATTATTTCACGGTAACTCTTTTTCTGAACATAAGGAATCATTATTTGGCAGGAATACTGATCTGGTTCAAGTTGAGTTTCATAGACAAACTGTTCTTGTTACTTTAATTCCTTCAAAACCTGATACATTTTCTAGAATGAAAAAGTATTTGAGGATAAAATTGCACTAACCTTGTATAAAGTTGCCAAGTAATGGTTTGTTTTAATAAGGAAAGGTTGATTGACACCTGGATGGTCCAGATCATGAGTGGCAGCTGCTATCAAGCTCAGCAAGATATCCCAGGGGGTCACAGAATTGGCAAGCTGAAATGTGGCAAAGAATGATAAGTCATAAACATGTCTGAAACAAACCACGCCAGCGCAGTAGCTCTGCACTAACAGGCAGCAGTGGCAGTGACAGGCTCCTGTCCCTGTCTCCCAGGCAGACTGCTCACTCACCACCACTGTCATCCCCTGTGCATGTCAGGTGCTGGCATCATGACACTGCAGCAGGTGTGACACGACAATGTCTCTCCTCACCTGGAGTTCACAGAGCTCCCCTTTCTACCGCAGCACTCTTTAGGAGCTAAATGAGAAATGGAGCTAATCACTAACACCACCTTGATTGGTGGGAATAAAGGCTTAAAAATGAAGAACACAGGGGCTGCTGTTAGAACAGGCTAAGTCACTGCCTGTGATGCCGGTATTCCATGTCAGAGCCCTGGTTCTGGTCCCGACTGTGCTGTTCCAATCTGTTCCTACCCATGCACCTGGAAAATGCTTAGGCACCAGCCGTCCGTGTGGGAGACCCAGGTGGAGCTCTAGGCTCTTGACACTGGCTGGCCTGGTTCATCTCTGACCACTGTGCCCATCTGGGGAGTGAATCAGCAGATGGAGAATTTTCTCTTTTGCTTGCTCTCCATCTTTACTTCTGTCTACCTAGCATCCTTTTCCTCTCTGCCATTCAAATAAACAAATCCTTTAATAAAACACAACGAGACTCTTAGTTCGTTACTGAGATGTCATGCCCACCTGGCCAAAAGGTGTATTCTCTTCATTAAACCTTGATACCTTACTTGCCACTTAAAAGATATGCCATTACTCCATAGAGGCACCGGTATGTGTTCCAGCTGTTCCAACCTCTGATCCATCTCCCTGCTAAGATGCCTAGGTAGGCAGAGAAGGGCCATGCGCTCCAGCCCCTGCACCCACCTGGGAGACCCAGAGGCAGCTTTTAGCTCCTGTCTTTAGTGTGGCTGTTGCAGACTTCTGCGAAGTTAAATAGGGGACAAAAACATCTGTTTCTCCCTCTCACTACATTTCAAATAAATACATTAATAATTTTAAGGTTTGCAATAAAATCATTTCCTTGTGGATGGATTTGTTCAAAATAGTATATACAATATATACACATCAGAAAAAAAATTCTGTAAGATAGGAATTATATTTTACTCTCAGTCATCACTGTCAAACATATTTGACACCAAAGCTAATCACAGTAAGTAAAAATTTATCATAAGCTGACTGGAATTTCCAGTGATAAAAATACTCACTTGGGACAGATGACTGGTTCTGGGGAATTGCCTCATTTTCTGGCGAACTTCTACTCCTCTGACAAAGCCCTGTCCACAGAACCGTCCTTCCTGCTCTTGTGGGCCCCTGCCCTGTCCTCTAGCACTTCTCTCTCCTGCCACCTTGGCACCCACAGGGCAACCCACGTGGATATGTTACTTACAGTTTATGCTACTGAATGAACATGTATTTCATATTGTAAAATGGAGATGAAAATTGAAAAGTGTAATATTACAACAGAAAAAAAATTTACATTCAAGCTCTACTATTTTCCTTCTCTGCCAGAAAGGATCATCATTTTCTCTCCCTCTGTTAACTTCATCTATGTTGGAGAAATCTCTGTGGGAGAGCCTGAATCTGCTGGGAAACAGTAGGCTGGTGGAAAGTAAAGAATGTGTAACATGTATTTTCATGTTATGTATATGGAGAAGCTTAACAAACAGGGGAAAGTTGTAAAGGAAATTATTTCCACTTAAAGACATGGAAAAGCATTTTAAACACAGAGACTTTGAAAGTATTTCTTGGTGATCAGGATGGACAGAAGGCACCTGAATTGGGGCTTAGTGGGCTGGGGCAGCCTCCCTGCCAAGACAGGTAAGTGAGTGGGCATGGGTAAGCTTGTAAAGGAATGTGTAATTTACGAAGCAACAAGCAAAATTCTATATTCTCATAATAAGTAAAATAAATCTTTTATCTAAAAAAGTAACATTTTGTAAAATTCTTCTAGTAATAAAAGCCTGCAGGTATTGTAAAAAAGATAAAAATTCAATGATATCAATAAACCTTATTAACTATGTTCTGAAAAACACTGTTATTTACATTCTGTGACACAGATGGCAACACTTGATAATTAGAGTTGTATGGAGAAGAAACTTCAAAGCATATAATATAATTTTATTTGAATCTATGAAACTACCGACAGAGTTCTTTTCCAACACAAAGGAAACAATTACGTGGCCAGTTTTCCTTTGTTCCGTAGAAATCCTCTTTGTTGGAGCCAGTGCCAGGGTGTATATGTTAAGTCTCTCACTGCCATGATGTAGTATGTTAAACTCCCACCTGCAGTGCTCACATCCCATACAGGTGTCAGTCTGAATCCCGTTGGACTGGCCCAGCTCTGGCTGTTGTGGCCATATAGATAGTGAACAGCAGAAGGAAGATCTATCTCTCCCTATTTAAAAATCTGCCTTTCAAATAAAAATAAATAATTCATATATATACATAAATATGAAGCAAACCTATTAGTTCCATGGCTTATTAGTGTTATACTGAGCTCCTAATGTAATGATCATTACAGATGTCTTATTCACTTGATTAAATTTCAAATTTCAAAATAATTTTAGGAGAAATGTTGTGGAGAAACATAGGGAAAATGTAACCCAAAAGTCAAATTAAAATTCAAACAAAAATCCTGGGAGAATATTTTGTAGGAATTGACAAGGGCCTAGACAAACCTAGACACAGAAAGAAGAAATACAGGGGGGAAAAAATCTGAGCCCAAATGATCTAGGATTTTCTCCCCCTTCAACTGGCAATAAAAATACTAACATAAAAATATACTAGCAAAAAGGAGTGTGGGTCTCAGGACGGGGCGTCTCATGCCTGGATCCCGGACGGCCGCCAGGGGCACATGGTGAGCCGTCCTCCCCGGGCCTGCTGGGTTTCGGGGACCGCTTCCTTCGGGGTGAGTAGACCGAGGGGGGGAGGCCTCCGGGGCTGGGCAGGTCCGGGGCCCACCCGCCGCCTTCATGGGGCGGTGAATGGGATTTGGGAGGGGCGCGACCTTGGGCCTGGGTTATTTAAACCTCCAGCTGCCTCCTGGCAGCTGGTGGGTCTCAGGACGGGGCGTCTCATGCCTGGATCCCGGACGGCCGCCATGGGCACATGGTGAGCCGTCCTCCCCGGGCGGCCAGTGCGCCATTGGTGCCAGGCTCCGCCTGCTGGCCGCCCGGCTGGGGAGCTCTGGGGATTTGGTTCTTTGAGTTGCTGCTTAATTAGCTCCAGGTTGAACCCATTGTGCTTCTTGGACCTGAAAGAGGCAGTAACTCTTCCTTAGCAAAACTTGTAATCACTAATAATTCTGAGCACCAAATACCAGTCATGCAGAAGCTATGGCTTGGGGCTTGCCCTGCACAAGTAGCTCCAACAGTTGGCCAATGTGTCAACTGGTAATGGAACAGAGTAGATTAGGCACGACTGAGCAAACCTTAGCCCACAAGTAAAACTAGAAACCAGGAGGGAGCAGAGGTCATGCCGAGCTAGGCTCTTGTACCTGCTGGTCTGTGGGAGCCTGGGACGCTAAGCCACAGTGTCTAAGGCAGAGTTCGGGACAGGGGAGGGGTTGTGCCAAGCTGAGTCAGAGCATCCATTGGCAGGCATGTGATCTATGCCTGGGAACGGACCCGGTTGGGGAGCAAAGGGGACAACCCTAGCTGGGCTGAGGTTCCCACCAAGAGGCGCGTGGCCTGGAAGGGGGCTGCGTTCTGATCTGGAAACAGTTGTAGTCTCCCTTGGCACAAGTGTGGACTGGGATTGGATGCACCGAACTGGGCCGGACCCCGACTCCCCCTGGTGTTCTGGAGGACCAGGGCAGATGTGGGATGGACTAGGCAGGGTCTCAAACCCCTACTGAGCCATGTGTGAGCCATACGTGGGTATGGACAAACCATGGCTGGGCTGGAACATCCAACAGCAAGAACCAGATTGGGTTGAAGGCCAGTCAGGAAAAGCCACAGTTCCTGCTATGACAGGAGGTGGACTGAGTAGGGTTGGCTCATGGACCCACTGGTAAGCGTGAAACCTGGCATTGGGAGAGGTTCTGATGGAGGAGCCTGGGCAACTCCTCTGGCAGGACACAGACCCAGCAGGTAAACGCAAGAAACATGATAGGAAACAGCCCAGAAAAGGCCATGGAAACCTACCCACTGGCATACAGTTGGCAGACGTGGGGGCAAGACCAGGCTGAATCTGTCCACATCATCCACTGGCAAATCCAGGCACCAGTGTGGGTCGACCCAGGGTCGGTCGCAACAAAGACTAGTGCACATTATGGAATGCCGAGGTGAGGTTGCCTGTACCAGAAGGGACCGCAGCGCCCAACCAGCCTGAGAACAAGCAAGGAAGTGGGCAGAGCTGGCAGGGGAATAAGGGAGGGTTCCTTTGCTGGACAGCTACTTCCGCAGGAGAGCATGGGCTGGGATGGGGGCAGACCAGACTAGGCAGAGCTACCACACCTGTGCGCCTCATGTGGACTAGATCAGGGAAAAGCCAGGCTGGGCGGATTATTCCTACTGGTGCAAACAAAATTAAAGTGGGCGAGGTTTGTTTGGGCAGCATCAACTGGAATCTGGGAGTGGGAGAGGCCTGGGAGGGAAATAGTGGGCTCATCCCTCTTGGGTTACCACTTCCACGGGAGGACATAAAACTAAGACAGCGGCTGGGGTGGAATGGGATGTGGGACAGACTGGATTACTGCTACACTTACTGGCAAACCAGGGTAGGGGGTGGGCCTGGTTGGGGTTATTGTGGGTCGCTCCAACCTAGGCTACAGCTCCCGCTGGTTTATGTGAGGGCCAAGTATGTGCTGGGCAGAACCAGACTGGACTGCAACACCCATTGGCTCCAGTGGAAGACGGGAGTGAAAACAGAACCAACCCAGGAATTGCAACCACCAGCTGATTGGAGCGATGGACGGTGCCAGGCCCTGTACTTGTTAGCACATACAAGAAGTTTCTTTGGAGATCTTCCTAATCTAAATGCTGGACTCAGAACCATAACAAAGAAAAGAGAGAAGACAGAACGGGTCAACCAACCATCTAAGCTATGATGGACTATGTCAATCAGTGGATTTTTCAAAGACCTCATAGTGCTTGGAGCGGCAAGATTGACAGCGATTCATAACTGTTGCAATATCAAAACCACTTGAGCAAGAACCTCAGAGCATGCCCTACACCCGGGACTTGGGGAGGGTGGGAAATTGGGTGGGCCTTCTCCCTTAATACCCCCCTTTTAAACATGAAGGTAACAATATGGAAAACATATTAGTATTATCCACTTTCCTATAGCCCTTGAACCTTCTTACCCTAATTAACTATGTAAAGAATGTCAAAATAAAATTTATTAATAAAAAAAAAAATACTAGCAAAAAGGAGCTAACTAAAATACTGATGCTTTGCTGATGTAACAGTACAGTGGTTTGATCATTAAACACAGTATTTTAAAGAAATCAAGAACACAGATTCTTGATATATGATTTCAGCCCTGAGCATCTACTTCAAGACCCTTCTTCTCTCATATTCACAGAAGCAAAAACCTCTGGATAGTAAAATCAGGAACATTCTAGAGGTGTCAAAGCTGTCAACATAGTTAAAATAACCCTACTTAATTTTAAACATCACACTCACGCAGCAGCATCCATTCACTAAAACAACTCGTGTTTACTGGGCAGCTACCCCATTATGCTAGGGGTGGTATGCGCTTGTGAACACATAACACTGTCAGCCTGAGGAGGGACTGACCTTCGTGTGGTTTCCACATTAGTTTCCAATATGTCCCACAATTAAAATGTCACAGCAAACATTCAAGTCTCTCATTCTGCCATCAACGACTAGCAGGCAGGTGACCTGGCTTCTATGCAGTGCAGTGAGGTGATCTGAGCATCTCTGGTCCCACTAACTTCCCAGGTGGGATGGGGATGGAGACGTGTAGAGCAAGACTGAGAGGCTCAATATCAGAGTAGGTTTCTCTCAGCAGCAGGTGCGAGAGGTTTTCAATCCCGGTCTGGTTTAAGCAGTTACTGATTTAGTATAGTAATGAATTTAAACTCGGGCATACAAAACATGAAAGTGAGAAATAAGAAAACACAATTCCTCCTCAGCTCACAATGATGAATGTTATCAGTGTCAACAAATGCAGGAGACAGAAGGTTCAACTGCAAAAAACCCGCTTTCCAACCGTTCAACCTTTGAGGATACAAAACAGAAACACTGAAGTTTAGAGATGATATACAGAGAGTAGGGTCAGTTCCCTGAATTTAATTCTCAGTAATTCCTTGGGCTTGGAATATTTCTTCACTTAGAGAAAGAGCACAAGAATTAGCTATTCATATAAATAGTAAAGTATTAACAAATTTCTCATATAAGCAAGAGTACATCAAAAAATTAATACTTCTCACTGTAACATTGTAACCCTTTGCCATTCAACCAGCATGTTACTCTATTCTGCTTTCTCATCACTTCCTGGCTTTTTGGTTAAGATCAAGTGTATTGTGCCTTCTTCATAGCAGTGATTACTACAGTATCCATCAAAATTCCACTCATCCCTCCATGTAATGACCGTCCTGCCCTATTTACCACCATGCACCAGCGCCAGCAGAGGGCCTGGCTTGAGCAGATGCTCAGTGAGCAGGTACTGAATTCATGAGTGAAAACACTCAGAAATGTGATGGGAGGTCTAGGTCTAGGAAGCAAGAGACACAATTTTACAACTTCTGGGTTTTCAGAATTCAGCTTTTAATCTCTGATTTTTATTTTTTTTTTTTTAGGATTTATTTTTATTGTAAAGTTATATATACAGAGGAGCAGAGATAGAGAGAATGATCTTCTGTCTGTTGATTCACTCCTCAAGTGGCTGCAATGGCAGGAGTTGTGCCGATCTAAAGCCAGGAATCTGGAACTTCCTCCAGGTCTCCCACGCGGGTGCAGGGTCCCAAGGCTTTGGGCCATCCTCGACTGCTCTCCTAAGCCATAAGCAGGGAGCTGGATGGGAAGCGGGGCTGCCGGGATTAGAACCAGCACCCATATGTCATCCCAGCACATGCAAGGCAAGGACTTTAGCTACTAGGCTACTGCATTGTGACTTCTGATTTTTATTTTTAAATGCCAATTATGATGAGGGAAAAGGGAGTTGTGGTACCCAGTGTGCTAATGATGAAAGCTATTTAAGCATGAACAGAGCTACAGAGGCAAATCGTGCCTACAATCATGGCTGTATTCATTTTTACCCACATCTCCCCAGCCTGCTCACGGGCATCACCCCCCCAAATTCCTTATCTGTGGCTGCAGGTGGGTATGAATGTTGGGGAAACAGGGAAGCATCACTGGCCAGGTTAGCTCTAAATCTGCTCCTCAGGGAACTTATCTCCAAAGTTCCATTTGTCAGACTAAATGGTGATTCACAGTCCATTTCTTTCCTCAAGATTCCTAGAATTAAAGGCTTAATTATAAAATTGGGGTACTTGGCAGTATACACATCAAAACTGTATACCAAAATCAAATCTATTTTAATATTGCATGAAAATTATACCGCAAGTAAGTGTTTACTTATTTATTTTTAAAGTCACGATATATAGCACCTTAAACATCCTTGGGCATACACAGCTTTCCTTGGCATGAACAGCTGATGTCTCCTAAATCTCATCTCAATCCTAATTTCCTTCCCCTATATCAGGCTCATCCATACAATCCTCTCCCAGATGGCTCTGTCTGGATATCACATAAACACACTAAACGTCACATAGTAAAATGGAGCCCGGCATTTCTACCAGCACACCCAACACTTGCTCTTTCTGCTACATTTCTCCCTTCACAGACAACTTGGACCTTCTCTGCTCTACTGTTCAAACCATTACATGCTGGCTTCTGGGTTTCTTTACCCAAGATGCACACAAATACCACACTGGGTTCATTCTAATTCCCAAGAGATGTTACAAAGCATCCCCTCCTTCCTCCCCCATCCTACCCTAGAAGCTCCATATCCTCTTCCATGGAGCAGCAACACAGCTCCTGGGAGATATGCACGCTTCCGATGGCATTTCATTTCTTTTCACCACACAGTAAGGACAATGTCCTGGCATCTCCTGGTGTCCTTCCCCAGCTCTTTATGCACTCACTGGAGCTGACCAAGCTGCTCCTGCCCTCATGGAGCTCACGGTCTAGGCCAGATGTCTTCACACCAAACGGTTAAGTTCTTCTCCGGCCCCTCTCTTAATCAGTATCCCCAATTTCCTGGTTGTTGCACTTACAGATATGACCACAAGCCAGTCAAGCCAGCCCTCATTCTTATGACGGATGATTCTGATTTTGAGTTCAGCCACTACTTCAAAGGATTTTCTTAGCATTTAGACCTATGTGGAATGTTGTCCTCTTACCTTGGGTTCTTTTAAGTAACAGTGCATGGCCTGAGTGACATCTGCAGCATGGACTGCATTATGGTAGGGGTTCTGACTGTGATAATCTTCTTGAATCATAACTGCATCAGACAGAAAAGATCTCAGTTTTAATGTAAGTGGGAGACATAGATAAGCACAAAAATCATCACAATTACAAGTGACCCTGACTCATTCATTTTTGGTGCTATCAGCTGCAACTACCCAGATTCAGAGATGATAGTTACCTCACAATTCACACAGTGAGCTATCACAATTACACTCTGAGAAGGGTGTCACTGGGCAATTCCATCATGTGTGCACTTTTAAAAAATTGAATCTTTAACAGAAATGCCATTATGCAGTGTACAACTACATACCCAAAGAAGTGATACCTACCTGGCCCTCCATCTCAAATAAAAAAATAAATACATACATAAATAAAAAATTTAAAAGGTTTATTTAATTTTATAGAAAACCCAGATATACAGAAAGGGAGAAAATACAGAGAGGAAGATCTTCTGTCTGCTGATTCACTTCCCAAGTGGCCGCAGCAGAAAGGCTGGAGCTGAGCCAATCAAGCCAGGAACCAGGAGATTCCTCCAGATCTCCCATGCAGGTGCAGGGTCCCAAGGCTTTAGGCCGTCCTCAACTACCTTCGCAGGCCACAAGCAGGGAGCAGGATGGGAAGCGGGGCTGCTGGGATTAGAACCGGTGCCCATATGGGATCCCGGTGTGTTCAAGATGAGGACTTTAGCTGCTAGGCCACTGCGCCAGGCCCTGATTTCTGCTTTAAATGTGCAGTCATTATGGTGCCAAACTCATATGGCTCTTTCTAATTTTCACAGAACCGAGCCAGGTCAGACCCACTGTCACACCCCAGAGCCCTTGACAGCCCTGTTCTCACCACAGCTAAGCATGTGTGTAGTCTAAGCTCCTAATTGCAAGTGGTCACAGAGCATTAACTAAGGCAATCAGCAAAGTTTTGCAAAACAAGTTCTTGTATAAATCTTGTTACTGTTAAATAGGTTAATTACTTACCTAAAAATCTACGAAGTTTCATCATATCTAAATGGAAGTACTCAATTAATCCATGAAGACTAAATAAATGAAAGGTTAAGTTTACTAGACTATTTCCTAAAAAGAAGGAAAAAAACATCACTTTAGTAAGGGATACAAATGAACAGGATTACCACACACCTCCAATATGGAGTTTTGAGCTAAGGAAGTACTAATTCCTTCTTATTTGTCTACAATTTATAGCTTCTTATTTTACCTCTTAAGAATTTCAAGGTACAATCTCTGTGTTATTCTTAAAAAGTGAATTTCTGTTGTTTCAGTTTTCCAGAAACAAAGAATTAAAAGAGAATCATTTTCAAATAGAACTCCCCCCCCCCCCAAAGATAACAAATTACATCAGGAGCAGAAAATTGCAAACTGTCCTATACTGCATTAGCTAACAGGACTTTCCAAAGCACTCCTTCCATCCCTTCTCTTGCTTAACTGGCAGGGGCTGGCCCAGAGCACACGGCCTTGACCACAGCCTCAGAATGGGAAGGTTTTACTCTTATCCAAAAAGGGCCAGGAGGACAGAGCAGTAACTGTTTTTGGATCCTCTAGGCAAGACTGGAAACTCAACTACTTGGTCCTTCCTCACTTGCCATGGAGGATCTGGTTGTTGCCAGAGACGGGGAAAAAAATCACAAACGAGCCAGAGCTCCACTGCTAACAATTTATCACTGAGGCCATACAGCAATCCTGCATTTTTCTAGTGGAACCATTTTTCCACTTTTTAAACATGACTATTTTCAACCCTTTCCTATCCTAAAACTTTTAGCACAATCCCATCTACTTTCAGGCTCCGCAGCCTCATTTTTGGCAGAAAAAAATACAAGCCATCAAGCCCTCCCTTTTTCTTCTTTTAAAAAGATTATGTACTTTTTACTTACTTGAAAGGCAGAGTCAGTGAGAGAGAAAGAGAGAGAGCGAGAGCTCTTCCCATTTGTTGGGTCACTGCCCATGGCCAAGGCTGGGTCAGGGTAAACCGGGAGCTAGGGTCTCTCACGTGGGTGCTGGGGCCTAAGTAGTTGAGCCTTTTTCAGGTGCAGTCGCAGGGAATTAGATCAGAGGTGGAGCAGCCAGGATTCAAATCACAGCCTACATGGATGCCAGTGTTGCAGGCAGGATTTAACCTGTTATGCCACAACATGGCTCTTCCCCACTTTTCAAAAGCCAATCCATCTATATCTTCTCAAGGACCTTCCCTGTTCCATCAGAAATATTTACCCCCAATCAATCACTCTCCCTCCTTTCCTTTCTCTCTGTTTCTTCTCTATTTTGTTTCAATAAGCATCAGCATTCAGAAATACTCTAGATTCTTTCATCTCTGAAATAACAGAGAATCCTGGCCTCTCTCCCCGCTTTCTAGTTCTGCTTCCCATCTCCCCCAAAGGGAGCACATTTTCTGAAAGATCCGTCACATGCAGTGTGTACTGTCTTCACCCTTACCCTCCATATCTTTCACCACACCAAGTGTAGATACGAAACTTGAAAAAACACACTATTGCTTTGTTTTCCATTCAGTGGCAAAAATCTCTTGGTTTTATATCATCTAACACATATTTCTTAAAATTTTCTGGACTTTCTATGGGACACAAATGAAAACAGTGCTTCAAATAATCCACGCAAAAGGCACATTATGAAAAAGCTACATGGACTGAAAAAAATTGCAGCAAAACCAATTTAACTGATAACTCCATTTTTCCACAAACACTTAAGTATTTTTGCATGTTCTATTATTTTAACAACAAAACAGACTAAATATCTAAAAGAGAGTGAGCTCGTAAGTTACTGCCAACATTGGGACAGCAATGGCATAAACATGACTGTAGTAGTCTCTAAAGAAGTATACGATTTTCATTAGAATATCTAGATGACGTAACCACTCACATCGAAAATTTACAGGAATCATGTTTATAAAGTATAATAACAGACTACGTGATTGTCTCTTATCTATAACTGCCCAGACAACCTTCAACAGAGGCCCACGGTTCAGGAAAACATAAATTAACTGAAGTAGTATTTTCTTGAGCAACATGAGAAAGGATGTGGAAGGCCAAAAGAGATTTTTGGAAAATTACCTGAGACTTCATCTTCATATGGAAAGAAAAAAAAAGTCATCTCAAGCTTTTTATTTCTAACAAATTTAATATTAAAATGCATTCAAGACCTGATAGCATTTTTCTGGCAATAACATAGTTCCAGATGGCTTGGAACCATGTCTAAAGAAGCAAGCTATGTTTCTGTGTCTTTTACTATAACAATCAACTTTTCTTTGGAGAGAGAGAGAGAGAGAGAGATCGAATGAATGATTTTAGAATGTATATCCACTTTGCCATTAGGATTATCAGAGGGTTTTCCTAAAACCCTTTTCCTTACCTGACAAGTCACTGATCTCTAGGGTCTAAAATAGGTTTTTAAGAAAGGTTACCCATGGGCCCGGCAGCATGGCCTAGCAGCTAAAGTCCTCATCTTGCACACACTGGGATCCCATACGGGCGCCGGTTCTAATCCCAGCAGCCCCGCTTCCCATCCAGCTCCCTGCTTGTGGCCTGGGAAGGCAGTCAAGGACGGCCCAAAGCTTTGGGACCCTGCACCAGTGTGGGATAGTTCCTGGATCCTGGCTTCGGATCGGTATAGCATCGGCCGTTGCGCTCACTTGGGGAGTGAATCATCAGATGGAAGATTTTCCTTTCTGTCTCTCCTCCTCTCTGTATATCTGACTTTCCAATAAATAAATAAATCTTAAAACAAAAAAAAAAAAAAAAAGAAAAGAAATGTTACCCATGGAAAAATACCCTGCTCTGGAATTCAGACAAACTGTACTAGAAGACACATACAATGTCCCCAATAAGATTTTTTAAAAAAAGATTTATTTATTATTTTTTTAATTACAAAGTCAGATATACATAGAGGAGGAGAGTCAGAGAGGAAGATCTTCCGTCCAATGGTTCACTACCCAAGTGACCTCAACGGCCAGTGCTGCTCCGATCCGAAGCCGGGAACCAGGAACTTCTTCTGGGTATCCCACGTGGGTGCAGAGTCCCAAGGCTCTTGGCCGTCCTCAACTGCTTTCCCAGGCCACAAGCAGGGAGCTGGATGGGAAGTGGAGCTGCCAGGAGGTGCCCATATGGGATCCGGGCTTGTTCAAAGCGAGGACTTTAGCTGCTAGGCCACGCCGCCGGGTCCCCCAATAAGATTTTAAAGGAATCTGATAAGTTCCAATATTAAAATGTACTACTCATTCAGCATCGGAAACACGATTTTCCCTCTCCGTTTATGAGACACAAACTGGAGATTTTTAATGTCACTCAATAAAAACACAAGACAAAGAAACATTTTTAATACAAGAGAAGCCGTGTTAAGCAAAGCAACAGGCATAAATTTTTAAAAAATGGAAATGGAAATAAATGCTTTCTTGGGAAAGATGAATTTACAAAAAAAGGTCACCCTCATAAAAATACACCAAAATATGGGACTGCCTAAGATGTAGCAGCTCCCAGTGGTTTTTGAAAAGCAACCCGCAATGAGAGTTGAAAGCTAGGCTGTGACTATGACACAGACGTGGCAATGGATGTCCTGGGCACCAAACAGCTTTTGGGGAGCAGGCTCTATCTTTCTGTTACTATATCAGCTCTCATATCTGCAAAGGAAACTTCAACTGCCTCCTACTAAAACATTACTTTCTTTTGTGGGGCACACAATGTAGGGACCATTCATTTTAACTTGAGTCACTGAGTTTTGCCTCCTCTTTGCCTGCTTCTTGCTCCTCCCTCTGCAATTTCATCTGGGAAATTACTAGAGTAGAAGAGTATGAAAGCAACAGATTGATAAACAAGAGGGGAAAACTACACTTGGACACCATGAATGTGTATCATCCAGAACTTACTTCAGGTCTCGGGGTTTGAAAGGAAAGCTATTCTTAATTATATTATGCAACTTAGAGGCTTATCTCCCACTGTCTCCCACTGATACCTGTCCACATACAGAATGCTTACGACTTAAAGTTACCTGTAGTTAACTGCAGGTATACCACACTAACTGCACCATCAAGGGTGGGTGGTTAACCATAAGTGATTTCTACTAACTCCCAGTGATCTGGAATCAAATGTAAGAAGAAATCATGCAACCACCCTCTCCACAAACACAGTCAAGGAGATGATCCAAGGGAGCCTGGGGAGCTCACTTAACTCAAGTAGGTTGCAGATTATTACTGCTGTCCACCCAACAGGTTGTCAAGCCCAACCTCCGGATATCAACCTCCTAACTAGCAGGGTATGTACTTTTTAGAGAAGAACAATCAACTCTTTAGTGAGTGATAGGCATCCCAGTAGCCTAATAAGAGGCTCTGGGCTGTTAGAGTTTATATAAGGCTAAACCTTGAGGGTGTGAAGGGTAGCACTGTTTCTTCTATATTTATCTTGAGATAATAACTAAGGTAATATTTGTGTTGAGTTCTGAAATGGGAATTTCCCAACGGAAAAGAGGGTGCCCTGCCTGATATTTTACTACCTATATTTTCAAAGAGGAGGCAGCTAAGGGGATGGTCAGCTGTGTAAAATGACATTGGAGCCTTTCTTGTGTGGAAGGGTCACAGTAATGGCAGGGTGGAAAACAGGACACTCCATCACCCAAGGGCCATCGGAAGGTGCAAGGGAAACAGGAAAGGCACAAGACCAGAAGGCGAGAAGGCAGGGTGGGGGCTTTGCTGCCAAGGGCGAATGCTACTGTTTTCACCAGTTGGCAAAGGACAAATCCAGTATATTTGGTGTCCACTATGCACAGATAAGTACAAGGTACACAGAGAGGTGGGTTTTTTGTTTGTTTTGCCAGATACTGGCATATAGCTTAGAGGAAATAATGCAGTATTGCTAACAGATTTATACTGATTTTGTCCATTTTACACTTTGATTTTCTTACGGATAAAGCTTTACTCCAAAGTGAAATAAGAAACAAGCAGGTGCTTTTAAAGTAGAGCAATGAACCAAATATCAATTTCATCATTCTCAATTTAAGTGACTTCTAAGTATACTTTCTCATTTGGTTGAAATGAGAAAAAGGGCACATGTTGAATCACACCAAGAAAAATGCCAAATATTTAATCCTAAATAAAAATGACTGCCAAATAGAATTTATTCTTGTTCTTAAGGAATGTAGGAACAATGATCCTCCCACCAAAATAAGTATGACGCTCTCCACAGAATAAAAAGGGATATGTAGATCAGAATCGCACGTAGACATATCTTTCAAACTACTGCTACTCTGGAGATTTTAGTGAGCTCTGCTAAGTTAGCCACAAACTCTTCCCCACCATCACGGGAAGCAGCGCGGCAGGGAACCTTTGCTGCTGGTCATACTAAGCCATCTCAGGCATGCAGAGACAGGCCTCGGAGCTGCACTATTCCAACAAAGGAGGCCCCTCTCAAGGCAGGTAACCCACCGTCCATTTGGGCTATCCCAACAGGAACTCAGTATGAAAGGATAACACACTAAAAGACTGCAAGGTAAAACAGCAAAAGAAATGGAAAAAAAAAATCAAGAATAAAACAAGACAATAATACTGGCTTTGGGTTGTTAAAATAACGCTAGCATTAATTTGTCAAGTTATAGTGATGGTGAGAATAGTTTTTCATTACTTCAAAGGGTAACAAACAAAAAATAAAATTATAGGACTCATTTTTTAGGCTTTTTTCTTTATAAAGGTCACCGAAAAAAGGACAAAACAATGTCAGCAGAGGTCTAATAAAATGAGGAAATGAAAAGCAACAGCCCACAGGTGGCTCTGCCATAACATGGTCATCCAGAGACTACATCCACTTTGAGTAAGTCCAATTCTTTACTTACCATTTGTTAGTCTATCAAATAGAAAGATATCAAAATTCCAATTTCCAACTTTTTCCAGCATACACTGTAATAAAAAAAGACATTCCTACTGTAATTTAATGTCAATAACATTCTTTTTGTAAATAGTCCATAGGGAAGTTAAAAATTAAAGCAATGTTTCACTTTAAAAAATACTACGTATTATTCCCCTTTTAATCATCATTTCTCTAATCTGTGCTACCAAAGGGATAAACTCCATTTGGAAAAGGGATCATTGTCTTACTTTCAAATTAATGAATCTACAGGTAAGTGTAGTTTTTCTCTTACATCTATTGCCCTGGAAAGGTTCAAGAGTTTGGATGCAATTTAACATCTCAGAAGTATAGTTCAAACTTTGCTTGGTCTATAAGTCACGTTTCTTGAATCTGGTAACAACTGTTCTTGGAGGATCCAGGCCACTGAGTGCTTACTACAGCATAAGTATGTTATATATATTTCATTCGCTTCACCTACTCACATCACCACGAACAAGCTCATTCTTCAAAGGCAAAGAAAAAACACTATAAAATTATATAGAGAAAAAAGTGAACCTATTAAAAAAAACTCGTTTTCTTGGAAAAGTTATACACACCTTGGCTTGCCCATTATAATCATCATCTAAAATGTTTAGAGAACTTGAAACGGTAGTTCCACGAAAAAAGCGTGAAGATCTAAGATACCGCTGGAAACTTAGTAACCGTCTGATATTCCTTGCAGAGACAGAGACTTCAATCTCCGACTGAGCTGAAACAAAGGGAGTGATGGTGAATAATGCAAGTTAAAGTTGTGCAGAAACCATCCTGACAACACCACTCCTGATTGTGTGCAAGTATTTTCAAAAGTTCATTCATCGCTAAACCATATTCCTAGGGTTTTTTTTTACTTCTATTTTCATTTGAAGAACTAAAAATAAAATAATAACTGGCCCATTTGACAACATTCAGGAAGATAATAAAGATTGTGACTACTTGATAATCTTTTTTTTCACTTCCAAGAACTATTACCTCTGACTAGAACACTTTACACATTTATTTATATATAAACAGAGAAGAAAAACACACACACAAAGTCTAGTTATAAACCACTTGAAAGGGCCTGGTGCAGTAGCCCAGCAGCTAAAGTCCTCGCCTTGCATGCACTGGGATCCCATATGGGCACTGGTTTTAATCCCAGTGGCTCCGCTTCCCATCCAGTCCCTGTTTGTGGCCTGGGAAAGCAGTTGAGGACAGCCCAAAGCATTGGGACTGCACTCCCATGTGGGAGACTTGGAAGAGGCTCTGGGCTCCTGGCTTCGGGTTGGCTCAGCTTTAGCCATTGCAGCCACTTGGGGAGTAAACCAGCAGACGGAAGATCTTCCTCTCTGTCTCTCTCCTCTGTAGATCTGCCTTTCCAATAAAAATAAAAAATAAATCTTAAAAAAAAAAAGGAAATAAAAAATAAAGCACTTAAAAAAGCCAGGTTCCTAGTTTCATGAGTTTCTTTTTAAAATAACTATACAACTAAAACATCTTGAAATTTAATGTGATTTAATGTGCCATCATATCATTTCAAATATTTCATTAAGTTAATGAGATGGAGTGAAAAACAAATTGATTTGTATCCTGTAAAGGCTGTACAGGTCAAGAATAAAATTCCATGATGTTAACAAACAAACAAACAAAAAAAACCTACAAAAAGATGTGGAGACACATAGGTTCTCTGATGTGCGTCTCGCAGGCTCCCCACAAGCTGCCTCTCCAGTGCGATAATCATCTGGTTTTTTGAACACCAAGTAAAATAACAGACTTGGGTATAAAAGCAATCTTGTAGGGAATATATTCCAGTTATACTTAAAATCAAGAATAAAAACAAACTCAGTAAAACTTAAGATGAAGGATCAACAAATCACCCAATCTCTTTTCAACTTTCATTAACTTAGAATCACCGGAGTAGCAGCAGGTAACCAAACACGTTTTCTTGTGTGACCAATCTCTTATTCCTCTATTAATTTCTACTGCTTGGTTTTCCTTATCTATAAAACAACAGCGATTAGATCTAATTCAAATGATACTGGATTAGAGATAACGTACACTCAGTCCAGATACACACGGCAGGGAACAATGCCAATGATGGAATACTGATGCTGCTCCTGCTCTCAGAAGTCTGTTTCCAGGTATTTATCCTAAGTTCACAACCTTCTCATGTTGCTCAAAATAAAATCATTCCACTCACCATTTTAGTAGGAACTCTATTTCCTCAGACTGGAAGAGAGCACGCTCCAGGTCACTGCTGCTCAGGCTACCTGAATGCACGCTCCCTCGTCTCAAAGAGGAAGGAGGAGTCTCTGTTTACAAAGCTCCCTGTGCCACTCATCCGCAATAGCACTTTTGACATCTTATTATAACTTATAACTTGTTTATGTTATATATGTAACTTATTATATCTATACAATATAACTTATTATATATGCTATTATACAAAATAACTTATATGTAATATAACTTATTACATATATTATATAACTTATAACTTACTTATGCTCCTTAAATCAATGACAACCTTCAAAATACACATGATCCATTCTCAGTGTCTCAGTGTTCCTAAGCCTATCAGTAATGTCAAGTATTATGTTCCTAAGTATTAATTCTGTTCTGCTATCTTAGCTGTGTTGTACAAGGGATTCTAAAACGTCTCACTCAGTAACTAATTAGTGCCAATTCGGTACCAGGGATCACTCTGCTGAGATTTTGTGGTAATGGAGAAAGACTGTCCCTGCTTTCACAGAGCTCACATTCACGGAATCGCCTTTTCCTGTCCTCCACAGCCTCCTTTTTCTCCACTTCTTCACTACTTGCTCGTTCTATTTCGCTTGCTTTTCTCAGTTCTACCCACTACATCAATTATTATGCTTATACCTTGTGCTGCTTCCAAATCTGTATTTCTGTGATATTATTTGGAATTGTCTTAGTTTTCAGATTCTCAGTATAAATGTATTTCAATTGTTTTTGTATCTGAATGTACCCTATGGTGAAGCTAGTGATTCATTTAGGTTTTTAAGTCAATGGCAGGAAATTTAGTCACAATTTTCACCATTTCTATGGTAACATTTTCCTATTAAGTGCTATTTATTTATTTATTTTAGTTTTTCTTTATTAGGTGCCATTTAATCATTAAGTTCTGGTATTCCTATCCACTGTTCCAGTTCATTAAATTACATGATGTGCTAGCTTCTCTTTTTTTTTTTTTAAAGATTTATTATTATTATTATTATTAATTGGAAAGGCAGATATACAGAGAGGAGAGACAGAGAGGAAGATCTTCCGTCCGATGAATCACTCCCCAAGTGAGCGCAACGGGTCGATGCTATGTCGATCCGAAGCCAGGAGCCTCTTCCGGGTCTCCCACGCAGGTGCAGGGTTCCAAAGCTTTGGGCCGTCCTCGACTGGTTTCCTGGGCCACAAGCAGGGAGCTGGAAGGATAGCAGGGCTGCTGGGATAGAACTGGCGCCCATATGGGATCCCGGGGTGCAAGGCGAGGACCTTAACCACTGCGCCATCGCGCCGGGCCCCGCTAGCTTCTCTCTTAAAAAAAATTACCAAGACTGGTGCAGTGGCTCAGCTGGCTAATCATCCACCTATAAGCGCCAATAAGCACCATCATCTCATATGGGGGCTAGTTCCTGTCCCAGCTGTTCTACTTCCAATTCAGGAAGATTCTTGCTCCTGGCTTCAGACTGGTTCAGCTCCAGCCTTGATGCCATTTGGGGAGTGAGCCAGTGGATGGAAGATGTCTCTTCATTCCCTCTCTCTCTGTAAACTCCATCTTTCAAATAGAAATAAACAAATCTCTTTAAAAAAAAAAACCACCAAAGCAATCATTACTGAATAGTTTGACCTTTCTGAAGCAATGCTGCACCAAGTTCTCAATGGGGATGCTGGGCGGAGAGCCTTCTGAGCTTCACGACTCAGATGGCCTCCCCTCTGCTCAAGGCAGAATCTGGGTAGAAACAGGCTCTTGCTGTGTCTCTAACCCCAGCTGGGCCCAGGGGGACGGAACCTAACTCAGCCCAGGCCCAGGAAGCAAAATATTTAGCTGTGTACTTCAGGGTTAAGCTACACATCATCCCATTCCCCCTGCACCCTGTTTGTTTTTTTCTCCTTTTAATTTACAACTTCTTTGTGTTTTCACTTCCATTCTTCAAAATGTTTCACGTGCACGAGGGAACAAGGTGTGTTTTGCATGTGTTTGCGAGATCTCATTGGATCAGACTCTCCAAGTTCTCTCCGCTTTCATCTGCTGTTTGTTCTGCTCTTGATAATGAAGCACTGGGGCAGGTGTCTGGCTGGCACAGTGGGCAAGACACCACGGGACATCTGTGTCCCTGTCAGTGCCTGTGCTCGCTGCACACCCTAGGGAGCATCAGCGATGGCTCAGGTAGCTGGTACCTGGGAGACCTGGGTTCATTTCTGGACTCAGAACAGCCATGGTTGCTATGGGTATCTAAGGGGTGAACCAGTGGAGACCTCTCCCTTCTCCCTGCTTTCCAAATGATATTATGTACATCTTCCTCTCTTCAATAAATGCTTCATGTAATTTTTAGTATTTTCTTGTTGCACTGGTACTTTTATCAATGCACAATGTCCCTTACCTCTCATAACAATAATTATTTAAAGTACATATTGTCTGATAATATATAGCCAAATCAGATCCTAGTTTTTAATTTGAAAATTACAAACAGCAAGAGACCAAGCGGAGGTGGGGGTGGGGAAAGGAGAGCAACTTTCTATTCTCTCATTCATTCTCTGAACGCTCACTGCAGGTAGGGCCACAGCCAGGAGCCAATCCAGGTTTCCCAAGAGGGTTGTCACAACCTAGTTATTTAACCCACCATGGCTGCCTCTCATGCGGGGAAGCTGGTGTCAGCAGCCACAGGTGGGAGTCAAATCCAGGAACTCTAATGTGGTACACGAAACTCTAGGCTCAACTGTTAGGGTAATGCCTATTTCCTGCTAGATCTCTTTGAGCTACTGTTTGCATGACATATCCTTTCGAATTCTCTTACTTTCAATCTCTTGGTGTGGTTATAGTTGAAATGAGTGTCTTCTACACAGACTATAAATGCACTGTGTCTTAGCCCATTCTGTGATGCTGTAACAGAGCACATAAGGCTAGGTAACTGGTAGACATTTGTTTCTTATGGTTTTGAGGCTGAGAAGACCAAGATTGAAGGGATTATCTCTGGTGAAGCCCTATTTGCCATGTCATTTTTATTGGAAAGTCAGATATATAGAGAGAAGGAGATACAGAGAGAAATAATCATCCACTGACTCACACCCCAAGCAAGCACAATGGCTGGAGCTGAGCTAATCCAAAGCCAGGAGCCAGTAGCTTCTTCTGGGTTTCCCAGTAGAAGTGCAAGTGCAAGGTCCCAAGGCTTTGGGCCGTCCTGGACTGCTTTCCCAGGCTGCAAGCAGGGAGCTGGAGCGGGAGTGGAACAGCCAGGATTAAAACTGGTGCCCATATCGGATCCTGGCTCATGCAAGGCAAGGACTTTGTAAGCCTTATGATGTAAGCCAGGAGAGTGAAGGAGGCATGTGGAGTAAGTAAAGGGAGCTGAATTCATACTTCCATTAGGAACCCACTTGAAGATGACCCAGTACGGCATCACTCCATCCAAAGGGGTGTAGGACACAAACTACTTCTCTCTTACTACTTTCCAAAATGTCTTGGTTTTGGATTTGAATAAATGGACTAAAATATGTCTC